GGATCACATATTTTCAGAAATACTGGAATCTAAGCAGACGTATTTGAGGTTTGCTTGTATCTCTGGGACTACATACTTGGGTCTAATCTAAGAGAAGTTCATTCAACTTCTTAATATGTGACATTTCTCTGAAACCCATTATAAGGCTTCAAAGCTTGTAAAAATCAACAACAGATGAAAACATTAACATGACAGTTTAATCTTTTCTCCAAGAAGCACCAACAAATATCAAGTATGACTGTCATGCACTAAGTGACCAAAGTTGTTCAGGGGAAAGAAAAAACACACCCTATTCAACATAAAGATTTAATTGAATCATCCACTGTTATGTGCCACACTAAAAATCCCTCAAAAATACTAGTACACAATTCTAGTTTTGGAGCTCTCTGAGATCCCAGCATTTAGGAATATCAGCAATAGAATGTATGCATAGTGAGCCATCAGAAAAAGTAGACTTTGGAAAGATACACTCATGGGACATTTTGTAAAGAGGAATATCCGTGTTGTAGTTAGACCTGAAAATGTAAAATATTCTAAAATACTGAAATACTTCAGTCCATTTAAGTCAAGTCATTAACAAAACTCTTATCTGTTTACAAAATATTACCCATGTTTTTTCACTTCAGGGTAAAACAGCTTTTTCATTGTGTTTAGTCTTTGAAGGGGGTTTCCTCTTATTTTTTAAACAGCTACATTATTTCTCTGTAATCAGGCTATATTTTTCCATTGCATTAACAACTACCAGTGCATCCGGAGTGGATGAGTTGTAGGCGTCTTTATTTCTGAACTAGCTAGACTAGAATCCAGTGCATAATTCTGCAAGGCTAACCATTGGGAGCAGTAAAGAACATTATTTTCTCTCCTACTGTTGGCAGGGGTCAGCATCCCTGTCATTAGCAGTGTCAAAATATAATTATATTACTGATCCTTATGTGAGCAGATACCTAACAACACATGAAAACATAAAACATGAAAATGTTTCAACTCTTCTTATAATACTTGTGGAAACAGACTTTGGAGATGGCAGTACAATGAGGAAAGAAGGAGGAATATTATCGCTGTGTAGGTATATTTAAACTGATGATCTGACATCTTCAAATAGTACAAAACCCAGACAATATTTTTCTACTGAATTCATGCGGTGTGCTTATCAAACATAATTTCTTTTTGTAACATTAAATTCAATTAAGAGCTATGATGTTACTTAAAACAGACATCAATTGAATAAACTGTTCTTATTAGCCCATAAATGTCTGAAATGCAGTTATGCTTCAAGTTTCAAGAGATGAACAGTATTACCTCAAGTCTAAATCTGTCTGTCCACTATGTTATTTTAAAGGCTGACCTATATACAGCAGCATACCATCCATTCTGTCTGTTTGTATAAGAGATACCTCACACAGTTGCCATAACCAACATTGTTTGCATTGTTCTTTCACTTTTCTCCTTCCATGGGTTATGTGAGAGAAACAAGTAAAAGTTTGCATAGCAAGATATGCAAAGCATAATGTGCATTTACAGTAAATAGAGGAATGTTAAAATAACGTTCTAAACATTTATGCCTAAGTTTATAAAACAAAGATCTAAGTAGTCTTTTGAAACAAAGACTGCCACCTGAGACACAGCTGAGCAGAAAGATGGGACTGTATGATCTACATTATTGTATTTTCTTTTAAGAAGCCATCAAGAGTGATTCATTCTGACTATAGATACCCACAATACATATGTATATGTGGACTGCATAATTACAAGCCTAAAACAATTATCTGATCATTAATAAAATTTATGTTAACAGATCAGTTATAAAACTTTAAAGTCCCTGACTATTTGGGCAAGGTACCTAAATTAGCAGCCATTTAATTAGAGTAAATATGTCACAGAATAAAGTTAATCAAACAATCTTTAATTTTAACCTAAAAAAACCACAGATAAGGGGCCAAACCTGCAATCATTATTCAAGCAAAACTTCCATTATTTCTAAGAGAGCAGGATCCTGTCCTGAATGAGGATTGCAGGATTTAGCCCAAGGTAAACAGTATCAAACAAAACTAGACTATCACACTCCATCAAATGATACCCTTTGCTTTTAGATATCATCTGTATATAGTCCACGTCCACCAAACTTTCTGAAAATAAGTTCTAGGAACCTCCTCCAAGCCACTGAAAACACATTAATGAAAATGAGTGATGGCTGAATATTTTTAAAGCAACTAAGTGTTTAGAACAGGGCAGATAAGTTTTCACAGCAATGTTAATCATGCTGGGTAGAGGAACTGAGGGAAGAGGTGGAAAATGAAATGTTCAGTAAATGCATGCCTCTCAAGGGCCTAGCAAACCTATTCAGTCCATTTAATATAATCAATGAGCAGTGGCAAAGATGTTTGAGAGAGACATGTTCATGCTGTAGAAGGTATCTTATATGAAATATTCCTAGTAAGTCATCTCCAAGCATAAAAAATTATGTCTTATGACTGTGCATTTTTTAAGTCCATTATCAGTCCAGGCTAAGTTAAATAGAAGAGTTACAACTTCTCTACAGAATGAGTGCCTCATTTGCATTTAAAAAGAACAGTTTGCTCCTTCATACATGGCATGACTTAAAAGAAGCTTCAACCAGCTAGTAAAAAAAAATAATCTGAAAACGACTTTCTAAATTAATTTATTCGATTTGCAGTGCAACCAACCAAAAATGATTTAAAGCACTTAATTGGAAAATGATTTAATATATTAAAGTAATTCCTGATTTTCCAAAGCATTTAACTTTTAAATTAAATCTGGCCCACTTTCTCAAGAATGATGAGTGAAATGTGTATTCAAGTCATTACCTTCTTTTTGAAGCTTTAAATCACTGATAGGTTTAATAACGTTTGTCCAGTTTCATTGCCAAATGGGTCTTCAGACACTCTGGTGCATATGTCATTAATTCTATCCCATTCTTCTTTACTTTCCAGAACTTTAAGGTTACAATTTACAATAAAAGACAGAAAATGCTGTATATGGCAAGTCAGAGACCAAAAGCAGTATCACAATGATCGCTATGAACATTTAAAGTGCACTACATATATTCTCTTGCACGCAGCTGTCCCCCACCCCACCCCATCCACCCCACAAAGTTCACTCTTCTCCCAAACGTCTCCTGATCTCTAGGGCAGCCTGCATGGACACTAAAAACCGTGGTTACTTAAACATTGCTAAAAAACGTTCCTCTGGGATCTCTTTTGAAACTTCCTTAGGCATCAGTCACAAGGGGCCTGATTTAACCCTGAGTTCTCTAACTCCATTGACTATAAAAGAGTTACACCAAGGATGAATTTGGTCCTTTATGTTGCGAATGATAGGTTAGATCATGCTGGAAACCTTTCCTGAAAACTGAGGGGGGCTTCATCATAATGCTGCACACACTGCTTCTAAACAGGTTATATTTGACTTTATTGTTTGTTTATTTTTATCACTGGGTCTATGCAGTTGCCAGGAGTGAGGGGACAGCCCTAAATATCTCTATGACATGTATTGTGATTTGTGAACCCACCATGACAATGGACCAGCAGAAAACACAGTAGTGTTTTCAAATGAGTTAAACTGGGAGTACTGCTCCTTTGCACTGGGCATCTCCCCCTTCTCCGAGTGTGTGTTGCAAAGACTGGTTGGCAATAAGCAGACACAGAACCCTCTGAAAGAAATACCAAGCAGAAAGCAAGTCTCCTTGCTGACTACATACACTACCAGCAGTAGAGTTTGCACTGCAAAAACATCTGCTACAGTCTGCAACAGCAGCCTTCCAAGCCAGATTTTAAACAAAAGCCTAAAACATACAGGTTTAAACAAATCTTCCTATAAGTGCTTGTTCCCAGCTTTCTCCCCTGGCGTGGGTGTGCTCAAGAAGTGCTTTGGGTAGCTTGCACTTCCTGATTATTTCCTATGGCTAGCGTTTTATTCATGGGCAAAGCCCATTCCACAACAGAAAAGAAAGTGCAGATCATGCATAAAATACCAGTTGGCTCACGCCACTGAGACAGTAATAATGAAAATATCCCTCCTCTCTTGTTCGTGGGCAAACGGATCGCGAAGTGATCCGGGATCACAGCAGCAAAACGAGTACAAGAAAACCCAGTGCTCGGGTCTTTTGTAAATAACACTAGCCTGCTTTGCATTTCCTCCTTCTCCCGGGCTCTTGTAGTAAACTTCTTTCTTTAGAGACATAACCCTATTTACAGTGATTTAATCAAGTTACAGAGGAATTAATAAAGCAGTTGAACAGCCAGAACAAAGTCGATGTTCTGTTCAGAACAAACTTGTCACCACCCATTTAATTCTGTACACAAAATAAAAAGCGTGGTCCCGTCATCACAAATTGCTAAGTACAAGCTTTTCGTGAGCCTTGACACATGAACTGGAGGGTTCACGCAGAGCTTTCCATTATGTTTTGACTTGGGGAAAACAAATCTTTAGTTTGTTTGTTTGTTTGTTTTGGGGGGGAAACAGAAGACAGAGTTATCTGTTCAATTAAATATCCCACATGGACATCCTTTTTCCACGCTGTTTCTCAGAAAAAAAATGTACATAATAGCTACTTAGACTTCCAGTTTGGGGGAGATGTTATGAAAAATTCTTTCCTCCCCCCACCTCCCAACACACCCCGTCCTCCTCCAAATTATTCTGGGATTTTATTTTAGTCATTCCACGAGAGAGAGAGAGAGAGAGAGAAATAGATACGCACACGGGTAGATTCCCAGCAAGCAACCAGGAATCAGAGAAAACGCTCTCACTTTCCTGCACCATCGGGGTGTTTGGAAAACACCCAGAATTTGCCTAAAATATAACATTTTACTACCACACCGCCCCCCGCAAATAACTCCCACCCCGCAAGAATGGCTTTGGGGTGGCTGCCTTTCCTTGAGAGGTTAACTCAGTATGCAGCCTGCCAAGATCTAGCTCCCATTCACTCGCAACAAAACAACACCACAGATAAAGCACCTCAAATAAAACAAAACACAAGTCACCTTGTTGCAATAGTAGGGGTCCAGGCAGGGAGAAGGTCCCAGACAAGGGGTATCAGGAGTGGCTGCAGGCTGTGGTGGTGGAGGTGGTGAATAAAATCTTACGTCCATTTCACTAAAACATCAAGCAAACTCCTTTCCTCTGTTTTTTCTTTTTTCTTTCTTTTTTTTGTGTTAACGTTCGTGCAAAACAAAAACAAACAACAACAACAAAAACCCCAAGCAGGTTGAGAAGAATCAGCAAGAGGTGCCTGAGTATTAGGAGAAAAAGAAACACCTTCCTTGCCTCACATCCGTTGGTGGTTTGTAAAGAAAGAAAGAAAAAAAAACTCTTCCAAAAAAGCACCAGTCTGCAGATGTCTGCAAGAGAACCGGCAGCAAACCCTCCTTCTTCTCCTAGAGCAGGGCAGGTAACTTGGAGTATTGTTTTCCCTGCACACACATGCACTAGTCGCTAGCCCTGGGTGTAGATTTCGCTCTCTATTGGAGTCTTTGAGTTGTTTCCTTTCCCCTCTCTCTCGCCTTTCTTTTTTTTTAATCTCTATCAGTGTGTGAGTGTTGGGGGGAGGGGGATTTTCGTTTCTCCACCTTGAGGAGTGGGGAAGGGGGAAAGCTAGTGCACACCCGTGAGGCGGGGGGGGCGAGGCGAAGGCGCTCTGCTGGGCTGGCCCTGGAATGGCTGCCCCGTGCTGCTCGCCGGGAGGAGGAGAGGGACACCGTGTGCGCCGCTTCCAGAGTCGCGGCTCCGAGTGTGTTTCACACAAAGGGGCTCGCGAGTGAAGAGCCATTCGCGGCTGCCCGGGACGGGGCTGGGGAGTGCCGAGAGGGGGCGCTGCAGCACCCTCGAGCCGCCACCCCCTGCCTTTTCCACCCACCTCCTCCGCCGCTGCCCTACCCCCTGCCAGTTACTATGGTGCCTCCTCAGCCCAGCGCTGCTGCCCTGCCCTGAGGGGAAGGAGAGGAGCAAGAACAGGGAGGGGTGGGGAAGGAGTTAAAGCAGGGGGCAAGGAGCAGCAAAAAGGGGGTGGGGAGCACTTAAGTGGGACCCAAGAGCTCTGTGTTTTCTGTTCCTGACTCTGCCACAGGCTTCCTGGGTGTCCTTGGGCAAGTCACCCAGAGAACCTCTTCGCTGTGAGGAAATACCCATTGCATGGAGTCTCAGAGCCTGGGTCAGCCAGCGCGGGGCTCCCAAGGCAGGGCTAAGAATTCCAGTGTAGATGTTTGGGCTGGGGCTGCAGCCTGGGTGCTGAGCCCCAAGATCTCAGAGCTTGGGCTTCAACCTGAGCCGGGAAGTCTACACTGCAATTATTAGCCCGGCAAGCCTGAGTCCGCTGACCAGGTCTTATCTCAAGGTATGTCTACACTACACATTAAGCCAGGACTCTCACGTTTGAACACAACTCCATCCCTTACGTCCACACTCAAATCAATCTGTCCTAGGACCTTGCTGAGGCGTGGGCTAGGGCCCAAGTCCCGCTGTGACTTGCAGTGTGGATGGATGTCAAGACACAGCCCCAAGACAGAAAGTTTGCATAGAGCAGTATGGACACATTAGCACAGCTTTGAGACCTGGGTCCAGCAACTGTTAAGCCTCGCTTTACAATGCAGTGTATACATTTATCCAAGCATGGGCTTGGAAACACTGAGCTCCACAGACCAGGGCTTAGTGTGCAGTGTAAACATGCCTTTTATGTCCCTTTGCCTCTCAGCTCCCGATCCATAGCATGGGGATAATGATTCTTCCACACCTCACAGGCATGTTGCCAGGACAACACCATGAACACCTGGGACACGCATACAGTGTCACCATTTCTCACAATGTTATCACAAGTCTCGTGATATCCTGTGGAGTCCGTGGAAACATGAGTAGGGGGGAAATCTCATCTTCCACTTTAAAAAAAAAAGTAATTTTCTATAGTTCATGGTGGCAGAGACAAGCTTGAAATTATGACCTTAGTACACCATAATGGCTCAAAAACCACAAGGCAAATAAAAATAATCTGAAATGTATTATTATTATTATTAAAATATTTTATGAGTTTGGGGAGTCTCACTCATGAGTTTTGAATGGTTTAGGCTGGCAATATTGCTTGGTGCCGGCACAATATAAGTACTTATCATAGACAGATAGAGGAGCAAAATGGGAGGAGTGGTAGGGAAATAGGGTGGCAGAGAGGGTATCAAAAACGGGGAAGAGGAGCAAAACATTGTGGAAATAAGGGTAAAAAATGAGGGGGGGAGGATAGGCAAGAACTTGGGAGAGAGGGGCAGGTAAGCAAAAAAAGTGTATAAGGGACTAAAAACAGGGGAAGAGGAGGGGCTTTAGGGGGATCACGAACTGGCCCCAGTGGGTTTCCTTCTGGCTTTCTGTCTAAGTTTTAATCAACAACAGGAGGGATATAAAATAATGCAGATCTGTAGGAAGGTACAGGAAATACGCCTTGAAATTTGGTAGATTTAAATATCACTGCACATTTAGAGAGAGAATATGGAAGAAGAGAAAGTACCTTTTTACTTCTTCATTTAAAAAAGTCTAAGAACTTTAATGACCTTTCCACAGATAAGCCTTAGTGATCACTCCTAATTCCATAGTGATGTTTAAATCTACCACACGCTCATATGCACATTTGCTTCATAAGATTCAGAGCATAAAAGTACTTTCACTGTTGTATGTGTATTTTTATTAATATATTCTTTCTTAACATTGTATAAAACCAACAACCCTAAAACAAACATTTTAAAATATATCTTGGTATGTTAAGTAACAGAAAACATGATTGTTAAGAAAATAAAGCAATGCTTCTGTGAGAACCATTGATCTCTGTGTTCAGTGGTTCAAACATTTTCATAGTGTAAAGAATCTATTAAGATAGGGTGTGTTTCCCGACCACGTCCATATCCAACCACCCAAACCTGATATCACCTTTTCCACTAGCAACTATAAAGATTGGTTACATGATTATATATATATATATATATATATATATGGAGACACCAAATAAGAAGGGCCTGAAGTAAGGTTCCTTTTTCATAGTTTAGTTTAATTGATCAAAAGTATCTCTAGAGATTCTCAGTATTGCAATTCTCATAATTTTATTATTAAAAGTCTTGAGATATTAGGTGTTTTTCTTAAACCCTCTTTCTTGGATTTTTGTGATTACGAGAGAATCTCAGCTTTCATTTTCTTTAAATAAATAAGTTTCTAGATTTTATGGTTGTGGAGAAAATATTGAAAATGTGATCCGAGTTCATCCTAAAGGCTCAAACATCAGAAGGCAAATAAAAAGATCCCCAAAAATATATTATTAAAAAAAAAACAGTCATGATTTTCCAGGGCCTGATTTGGATTGGCAATTAGGAGAATCCCAAACTGGTTTTGCAAGCATGTTATTGCTTGAAGACTGACAGATATTTCACTGTTGCAAATGGTTTGTCCATTGACCATAGTCTGATGCAGAGGAAAGGAGAGATCTCTGTCAGGGAGCTCTGTACTGAGAAGCTGCTAGTGAGAGGCTACTGTTACTCAGAAGCTGTGGTTTGTCCTTCTGGTTTGTAGAGGAGTATGATAATAGAGATGTTGATTCTAAAAGAGATGCTCTGGATGCTAGATGCAGAGGTGAGGATTTGGATATCTGAATGACAATGGAGGACAAAGATACAAGCAGCAGTAGAGATTGTAACTTTAGATTTAAATGAAAGATAATGGTAGTGCCCTTTGTGACAGATATTGCAACCACAGGCAATATCTCTGGGGACCAAATTGTATTACGTTTATGTATCACTGTAGACCATTGTATGCAGCTCCAGGGGGAGGGTTACCACAACTCCTCCAGGAAACAAAATTAATGGGGGACGGGGTGATTAAGGTGAATCACTTCGATTGTAAACACTTCCAGAGAGGTACCTCCCCCTGGGAAGGCTTGCACATACTGATACAAACTGGGTTTCCCAGAGACCAACAGACAAAGAAAGGGCTTTTGGCATCAGATGGCTGTATTTAAACTAACTCACGGGGACAGACAGCCCGTGCTACCTAACTCCAGTTACTGACTCCAGCTTGACACTTGGCATGACTGCTGACTCCAGCTCCAGCTTAATCCTTGGCATGGCTTCTGACTTTGACACTTGCTCCGACCTTTGGCATGGCTTCTGACTCTGGCTTTGACCTTTTGCATGACTTCTAACCATGACCCTGACTCTGTCCCTGGCTCTGACCACTAGGTCAGACCACCCAATTACAGGCCCTGACAGCTTGCTCAGTCCAATGTGCACTCCTCTGGGACTCATTACTGAAACCCTGTACTAAGTATGGACATGATTGGGGCTCTCGTCCTGCCATTGCCCCAGGGGCCTTTGAGCCTGCAGGAGCAGATCGCTACCCTCCAGGCAGAAAAACAGAAACCGAGGGACCAAGTGCTATGGCTACAGACGAGGAATCGCTCCTTGTGTGAGCAAGTTACAGCACTTGGAGTAGCTGCGGGTATCCACTCGGCTGCCCTTACGATGCCAGCTCAGGTAACTGACCCCAGAGTCCCTCTGCCAAAAAGATACGATGGTACCCAAAATAAGTTGTGTGGGTTCCTTACCCAATGCAGACTCTTGGTTATGCTCCAGAAGTGTGAAACAGATCAAGTTAAGATGGGGCTAGTACTGAGCCTGCCTACTAGGGGTGGGTGGGGGCTCTGGTGTGGGCCTCTCCCCCTTCTAGAGCAGGAAGTGTAGACTAATTGGGACTTATTCTTACAAGTATTCGCCACTATATTTGATGATCCTTACAAAGCCCTCAGGGCAGAGACTGCCTTACAAAAGCTTTGGCAAACCCTCGGGTCAGCTCCTTCTTATTTTGCCCAGTTCACACACTTAGCCATAGACACAGCCTGGAACAATGCTGCCGTCCTCCATCAGTTTCAGCATAGTCTTTGTGAAGAACTAAAAGATGAGCTGCCCCCCCTGCCAATTTGTAAGGGACTGCCCCTGTCTGCCCGCCAATTTAGAAGTCTTTATGGACCTATGTATCCTGATAGACACCAAACTGCCCAAACAGCAACTGGAATGTAACAGGGACCTGCCTAGCCTCCTGCACTCACCCTAGGCTCAGCCCTTAGGCCCAAGCAAGCTCAGCTTCAGTCAAGCTCATGCAGACTGACCTACCTGTTCCTGAGCGAGCAAGTGTAGAAAACAGGAGAACCACTGCATCTATTGTGGTGGAGCAGCACATGCAATATCCACGTGTCCTGTCAAAACCTCTGCTATCCCGATGACAGGAAAATGAACCTCTGCTAACCTGATGACAGGAAAATGAATAATCCCACACCCAGTCAGGGTCATGAGCATGGGTACCACCAGGGAGAAACCCCAACACTATGTTAAATCAAGAGTTCCTTCTGCAGATTCTCCTGCAACTGTGGATCCCAGAAGTTGAGCAGGCCTGTGTTCTCTGTCTTCCAGTACAGCCCAAGGTTATCCGAGATCTGGTAGGAACAGTAGACAGGTCACCTCTGGCGTTGGGCTTGGTGACACAGGAGAGCACACTACTGGAAGTTGTGATTGGGTGACACTGGGAAGTTCTACAATTTAGCCTTATTTTCTCCTCACATGTCACCCTGATTCTAGGGGCACTCTGGCTAGCCCATCATGACCCCCATATTCTGTAGTCCCAACTCATTTCCTTCCCGTCAAGCTACTGACGGCCACCTTATCGAACCCAGAAACGCTAACCCAGCACAAGGAATTACTGAGACTACCAGGATGTCTTTAAAACACAGAACATGGACTCACTGCCCTACATCGTGTGTACAATTC